AGATGAGGGAGGGGGTGAGGGTGGGACTGGAAGGGAATAAGGGAGTGGGATACAGCTGGGATACAGAGTTAATAAAATAACTAATAATTAAAAAATTAAAAAAAGAAAGATATTTGCGGTAGACATAAGACAAAAGTGACTAGGAAAATGATTATGAATTAAGGGGGAATTCAGATTCTGTCAGTAAACAGATGCTCTATTGAAGGTACATTATCTGTAGAACTTACTTGCTGATGGAAAGTGCGATTATTATACCCCCTGTCTCTGTGAGGTAAAACTGTTGCAGCCAAGGTATGCTTGCTTGTGTGTTTTCACATTAACTTCATTTTAAAGCAATTCAATGTTTTGAAACATAATTAAAGCAAAACAAAACTTTGAAAGAGAGTGGCTACAGAAATTATTTATAATGAAAAATTTGGAAATTGGATTAGCTAGTTTTCAGTGTTCTGAAATTACATATTTTAAGTGATTTAAATAATTCATATTTTTGATAGATTCCACTATTCTGAAATTGAGAAGCCATGTGACTAGGAACAGTTGTACTTATAAGTTATTCACATGCTTCCCGTTTTTTGCTAGCTAAAATAGGATCATATTAAATGCATTAGTGGTCAAATAACCAAAGCTGCCATCTTGTGGATAACTAGGTAATGGACCAGTCACTGCTTCAAGATGATGCAGAATTTGGCTGTTTGATATCCCTTACTGTTCAAAGTAAGACTGGTTAGAGCCTTTTGAAGCCCCTTTGAATTCCTCAGTTCTCCCTGTAAATTATCACCTGAAGGATATGCTCATCTCTTGGAAAGTTAGTGTTAACCTAAGCCTTTTTAATATGTAAGAGGAGAAGCAGTGTAGGATGGTTCCTCTAGTCTAATTAGCTGCTAGTGCTGATTTGTTTTGATAATATAAATAATTAGTTTAACCACAAAATTGATGTAACAGAAATAGTTGTCAGGCAATTAAATACTGCAGCTATTTCAGCTCCTGGGAAATATATAGAATGAAGGTATGGTTAAAAAAAAAACAAACAAACAAACAAAAAAACTGGGTGGGATGTACTTGCTTGAACTACAGAATAGCTTGTCAGCTTTGAAGATATAAAAGAGAGCCTCTATATTCTCTATATCATAACATACACACATTATAAATTTACTAAAACCTCAAGGCTACATTAATTCCCATAGTGATGTTCCTCCTTTAATGCTTTAAAGTTAAAATAATTAATGTTCTTTGGAACATAACAATGAGTTGTGACAGTTAGGTAACTGTTACAACTGAAATAAATAGTAATAGTGATACAATGTCAGGAAGTGTATTTTAAAGCGTAAAGTTTATTTTCTTTTGACACAATTTAGCATTTTTTTTAAATACTGAGAAAACATGTTTTACTATAATATGTGTTAATGATAAAATTATTATTCAAGAAGTGATATGCCGTCTGTATTTTCCTTGCAAAGAACACACTTAGATTACTCCAGACCACTTGATTGATTTTCACATATAATTAAATATACCATATACCGTAGATTTATCTCAAATCCTTTCTGAGTATTCAGATGTAATTATTTAAAACTAAAACATCTACGGGCTGGAACAAGCAAATAAGTGCTTGTTCAGGAAGAGGACCCAATTTGGTTGTCATCACTGAAGTCAGCTTTCAGCTGCCTGCAATTGCAGCTCCACTGATAGCCATTGCTGTTGCCCTCTTCTGGCTTCGGTGAGCACCAGCATAGGCGTTCACTGACATACAGACAGTCAATGCAGCATAATCACATATGCACACATACATGCACACACATAACAGGTTACTGCCTAATGAGTTACAGTGAAATTATTGCCTAAATGCTCGTTTATTATAGATTAGCATTAATATTAAATATTTCTCTTTCACTTTACTTTTCCACATTATTTCCCCTATCTATTAATATATCTATTCACTAATTTTACCAAGTCATACAAAACAAAATTAAGATATAAATTTATTTTTCATTTAAATAGATATTTTACTGATTGGAGAAGACACTGAACCTTTTAATATATGCACTGATATCTGTACCTTAAAATTATAATTATTAATTTTTATTAAACAAAATCTGTACATTATACTTAGATAATCAACTAGAGATGAATCATGTACAGAAAGAAGGTAATTGATACGAGAGACCAATTGGGCACTTTTCATATCATGTTCTCTAGGCTTCATTTTTACCTGTTTTTAAGCCTATTATGTGTTGCACTGTAACACTAGAACAAGTGAAAAGCAAAGTAAGAGATGTTATTTTTTGTTCATTTAATTATTAGAAACGACATTTATCTTATAGATGTATATATATATATATATATATATATATATATATATGTAAGGCATATATATCAGCGTGTTTTCTAAGTGCAACTGAATATAATCTAATTTTTTTAGTTATCTACCTGGACATTAAATATTTATTCCATTAATATTTTATACAAAACATGAAGTACAGGAACATATTTTGCCATATAAATTATCTTCTCAATGACATATCATTTTAGTGACTATAATATTGTAGCCTTATCATTTGTCTACCAGAAATATGGTTGGCATTTCCTTTGTCCAAATTCATCATTCCTATCTGTAATTCAATTTTGTGTCACTTTGAATGGCACACAGATTTCCATCTAAAACCTTGTGATTTTATGCAAAAGTAAATGAACAGTGTCTTCCACATTTGCTCAAAGTACACTTAGACAAATATATATTTTTTGAATCTAGATTCTTCTGAGGTTTGACTAATATGATTCAATCCAAAATAATTATCAGAAGAGCAACAACTTTGAAGAAGAAAAATCCTGTAGAGTTTGTCACTATTATAAACCCAGCCAATTTTGCCACAGAACATCTTATTTGAAATTTAAAGGGTTTAACATATTTCATCTTTCATTATTTGGATAGTGCTGAGTTCATTTTTCATTTTAAATCTCACAAATGTCACCAAAGTGAATATTTGATCTTTTGCTTGGTAATAATATTGACTTTTTATCATATTTCATGTAATACACTATGCTTATTATAACACGTCTACACATTACCTTAGCTGAAACCATGTATCATCTCTTCTAAGGGTGATATTCTCACAGTCATTCTTTAAGAGGTGTAAATGGGCTCAAGTTCTTTCTTACATAGAGGTGGATCTCGAGCTCTATCCAGAATCCAATTACCTGTGTCACACACAAACTACTAGAAAGTATGAATTAATCCTATGATCATAATAATCAGATTCCAGTGAGGCTGGAGACAGTTTTTCTTCTAGTCATTGTAAACTTTTAAAACTCCCCTCCCTATGAATTTTAAAAGTTTACATGTCTCTGCCAGGGTCTCTGCTGCATGCTTTTTCAATCACTTCCCTCTTGCCAGGCTACCTTGCCAGGACACTGTGAAAGAGGATGTACACTGTCTGGATGCAGTTGGATGTGCTGTGGGTTTTTGTGGGGGAGTAGGCTGGGGGGACTCCAATTTTTTGAGGGGCAGGGGAGAAGGTATAGGCGTATGAAGGAGGGAGAGAGGGGAAGCATCCGAAGGAGAGAAGAGATCAGGCTAAGATTGAGGAAAAGAATAACTAAATTTAAAAAAACAGAACAAACAAACAAAACCCTTACTGAAGTAATCCAGTAAAATAATTTATTTTTGTTGGAAACCATCATGGGTTATAAGGAGTTTTTACCTCCAGTCCACTATTCAGATAGAAATGAAGAAAAGCATATGAATATCAGGTGTCAATAGTAACATCCTCCCCATAAAGATAGGGGTGAAAGAAGTGAACTTCCTCACTTTCTCCCTGGTGCTGCCACTTTATGTTTTCTGAGCTGCAAAGCCTTCAAAGGGTTTGCCTTGAGATACAGCAGCACTAGATTTAGTAGGTGCTTGGTCATTGAATAGCTCTGGTAATTCTTGAATCTCACAGTGATGCTACTGACAGCTCCTTTTGGTGGGTAAAGCTGGGGTATATTTCAAGGTGATTGTAGTTTTCTCCCTCTGGCAGCAAGCTGCTATAACCAGCTTATGCCATTATCCTATTCTTCCACTGGACATAAGGCTGTGGAGAAATATGGGGCTTTTGTCAAGATAGTAAGGCACGCATAATTAGTCTCCATTTGAGTTGAAACAAAAAGAAGAGTACTATATTATAAAGTAGGTTTCAATTACTGAGATTTAATTGTCTACAAACCCAGTGACTTTTAAATTATTCATTTTAAAAACCAATATTTAATATCATTTTGTAATGTTGTACTTTTTAATATTACATAATTTAAGCTGTGCTGCACAAACTTTGAAGATCTTGTTGAACATTCAAAGAATACGATTCATTAACATTTTTTTCTATTTTTATTCAAGGCTTTAAAAAATACAGATGTTTTTTCCAGGAAAATTAATTGCAAATGTACAATATACAATATACCTTTTCCTAACTTTCTTGAATTTAATCGTGCCATATTATAAAAGCAATGCAAAAACTTATTTAAAAAAATAAATTCTTAATGTGATTACTCTGGTCATTTTATTAGCTATTCTTCCAGTGAATTTCCTTTTTAAAGTAACATTTTTTAAAATAAATGCAGTTGAGAAATAAAATTCCTCACAAATACTAAGTAATTAATTATACAAATAGGTCTTAGCCTACTAAGGGGGCAGTATATTCAGTATGGCATTGTCCAATAACTTATTTAGACTTCCCATTCTTCTTTTCAGCAGAAATTATAGCAAGAGAGAAGCATTTCGATTTTCAGCTGACAGTTTAGGGTTAAGATATGATTCCAGGTAACAGAAGCCAATGAGAGTACTCCCAGTTGATGTTTGTGACATCATCTTCCAGGAGGAGTACACAGAACAGCTGAGGCAGCGTTCACTTTCAGCCCGAGTGCCATTATGATGGATGTTTACATGTCTTCATTGAGAGCCAATTATCTTGCTTTTGTGTGAGGCCCAAGGATCACTCACGCTGCCAGGCTGCACAGAGCACTGTTGGATCTAGCTGAACGAATTGTTTTCTCTGTCTCGGGAAAGCCTGTTCCGTTTACCTTCTCATCCGAAATAGGGGTGGCTGTGTCTACCGGAGGGAAGAGTGCAAGGACTGAGCAGTGTTACTATCCGGTAAGCTTTTAATCAAAGCAATGTTTAGCATCGTTAAAGGGTGTACAGATGTAGCTAAAAGGATGGAAAAGAGCTGCTAATGTGTACCTAGCAAACTAATTTGCAGTAGAAAACGGATAGCAGGCATTTCAGCTTTACTTGAGAAAAGAGAGTAAGTGGTATCATAGGACTCTTATCTTTTAAATGTGTTCTAAATACTTCTGTGTCTGAATACCAAGCTGCTTCATTTCTTCCTACGTTGCTGGTGGTAAAAAGGCTTTAACATAGTCAAATCAATAGTGTTATAACATGAGTTTAAAACGAGTTCATGTTATTATTTGTTAAATGATAGTTCTTTGGGACAGTTTTTCTAAAGTTGTGCCTGGCCAGCAAATACAGCCTTTACCAAGTGAGCACAAGGCTTCAGCTTTGGAAATGAACTTGGATTACTTTCCATGGACACCTACCTTTCAAGTAAAGGAAATGTCTAAGAGCAAATGATGTGAAAGAACAGTGTTGGATAATTTCCTCCCCCGATATGAAGTATATTGCACTAACTGTTTTTGGATGTACGGGTAATATTGTATTTGTATATTTCAGAGTTGTGAAGAGCTTTGCATGCTGTAATCACTTCTCAGTATTTATATTTCTATCTGAGGATCCTTTTTATGACATAGCAAACCAGATATGTTTACAGCTGCTGTACTGCTTTTGGTATACATGATAGAATCTGACAGGAATCTTAAATAACAAATATGTTAAAAGTGCTTAATTGGCAGGGAATGTTCCTAAGCTACCTAGATAATTCAAAGAATACATTTAATTCTTCAGATGTCTGTTATTAGGGCATACAATAGCAGAGTCTTTAAGTTAAATGAGGTGATCGTTATGAGATAAAGACTAAAAAATGAAAATAATTGTTACTGAATTTAACATGCTTTTTATTTTAAAGGCTCTCTATAACTCTGGTGTAACAAACTTTTGAATAATGATCACTTCATTAGGCTTCGATGTGCTTGTGATCTTTAGATTTATCTTTACACATTTTTCAAATCATAGTGGATCTGCCCTGCCTATTTGAACCAGTAATGTTAGTAATTAGAAACCAGGACCTGAGGTGTTCAAGTTGTGCTGAGAGACAGCAGGGGTTTCTCAGCAATGTCTCACTTCTCTGTCTTCTACTAGCCTGGTCCTGTTTGGCCGTTCCTGACATCACTGTTGTTCGATTTGTCCCTTTCATTGTACTCAGGCCTGAACAAATCTGAGCTTAGTGTCCACTGTGTATCATCAACACATTCTAAAGAACAGAGCTTTTTGTCTCAGTCAAAACATTATGGAATCAATCAAACTTCAAAAAGTTTCTACGTATTCTTTGGGAGTTCATCTTACTTATGGAAAATCATTATTTGTCTAGCCTGTGAATGTCAAAATCATTGAACTTGAAAAGATTGAAAATGAGGATTATAAAAGTTCTGTACTGTGAAATTCAAAGTGTAACGATACATTGTTCAGAAATGAAGTTTGCCTTCATTTCTTTTTCCTTAAGTACTTTAAAAAAGAATTAAATATCCCATGAGTATGGATGCTGTTATTTTTAAACACAATCGATCTTGGCTAAGAAGAGAGCACTAGTTTCCTAACAATTAATTCTCCAAAAAGCTATTCATATCATTCTGCCCATAGATGATAGACTCTTACTCAGTGAGCAGTCCAGACATTAAAGTTGTATTTTGTTTTGTGTGGAAGAGTGTTTATCTCTTTTAGCCTCTCTAATCTCAAATGTTCTGTACTGTTTGGGATTACTGTGATAAGTGTCTTATCTCCTTTCTTTTTTGCAACTCTGTTCCATGTGTGTACATTGGATATGATTTGCCATGTGATGCATTTCATTACCTGAAGATTTTTACATTATATTGTTTTATTTCTTTGAAGGAAAGTAGAGGCATTTATAAAATCCAAACAGAGTAGGTTTTAAAAAAAATAGGGAGAGAGAAAGAATACATTAGTGGGATTCTTTTGCCCCACACTTCTAAGGAAACTATCTTCGTGCAAATGACATAGGTAAAAGATGATATGTGTATTGCAACATAGACATTCCCTAAGGATTTCCAACATACATACTTCATTTGTCTGAGTTAGTAATTATTAGCACCTTCTAGTCTTGAATGTATTTCTCTATTATCTTCTCAAGTTCTTTGTATGTGGCACATTAACTTAACAGTCACAGGGAACTAAGGAAGGCATAGTGAGGAACAGGTCCCTATAATATTCTGTGCAGTTCTCTGAGTTTCCCAAATCGTAGGAAAGAGGAGTTATCACACTTGAAAACAGTTCTTATTATGATTTGTCTAGTTTAAAGATATGTATATACATTTTTCCATTCTCTCCTATGGTTTAATATAAACATTTTTCATCAGCTATCTAAAATATATGATGGTGTTTATTTTTCTAAGTTCTTAGTTAATGCACCTAAATGTACTATAAGTTTTAGGCTCTTTAGGAAACTTTTTGCTTAGGCAAAAGGTACTTACTCCATTGGTGTGTTAGTTTGAGACTGTAATATTTTGGGTATATGCACAGTCATATACTTAGTAGAATAATTATGTATATTTTGCAATTTAACTTCTATTTTCATAGACAAAAGCATTTGATTTTCATTCCCTGGTTGTGATAAAAAAAATGTGTGGTGTTATACATCTAAAGAAACTTGTACTTTATAGTAGGAACTGTATCTTAGTCTCAAAGCTCATCCATTCAATAAACCAATAATGGAGGAAGTGCTCAGGAACAAGTTTACAAATACCAGTCAGATCAATCCACCAATCAATTTATGTCTCATTCTCTTTTCACATAGTTAGTTATTTAACCAAGTGTTAATTCTTTGATTGTCTAATCAAGGACACTTCTATGTGCTTAGTACGTACAACTGAGATGTGTAAAAAAGAATGATACACTTTTTTCTTTTTATCTGCAAGTTTTTATCTATAAAGTCAAAATCAAAGTATTTATATTAAGGTATGATGAAGAAACTTCTTAGAGGTGTGTAGAAAATGAGAGACAAAAGTTGAGAGATGGCCTGATTTATATTTTTGATGTTTCCATTTAAGTACGTACTAATATACTGGAATCCAAAACAAATTTCTGCATCTTTTATATTCAGATTTTTATAAAAGGATCCTTATTTACTTTATAATAAACATTTGATTCTAAGTATTTTTTTACTGCAATGTGTCAAGATAAAAATATTTAACTTGTAGTGAACTGTATAATCATCAAGCATTTTGGAAAAAGTGTTCCTGTATTTAAAATGGACCACAAGCAAACTAGTTTGAGTTCATCCTTTGTTTTATAATAGAGTTCTTAGGAATGAAATGCATTGAGTTGCCAGTTGTTTCACTTTAGTAGGAATCAATTACACACACAAACAGTGAGGAATTTGTGAAATTTTCTCATTTACATTAGTAAAAAGTGTATCCTTCAAGTAATAGTAACATTTCTAAACATGCAAATGAGGCAAAATGCAACCCAATATCTATTTTGTGATGATACTTCTATTAATATTAATTCCTAAGATATTGTGAGCCAACTGTGATATTTAATGCTATCAAATTTGTTTTCAGATTTTAAAGGAAAAGAAGTGTCAAATGTCAACTTCATGAGAAAAAGTCACCATATACATAGACCTTTTCAGTGGAAGAAAACAGAGTTGGATGAGATCACTGAATTAGCCATTGAAGAGTTTTTGTAATGATATGCCTATACATTGTGGACTAATTCAATCTTTTTTATTAAGCTCAAAACATTTCACTCTTAGTAAAGAGTTCCCATTTAAAAATAATAACCTTCAATATAACTTCTTTACTAGAGCTCACATATGAAAAATATGTAAATTAAGTAACAAATAAATTTAGTAAATAAGATTATGATTTTAAAGTCTGCTTCTCATCCTGAATAGAGCATGTTAAAACTAGCACTGAAATTTCAGAATTGAATGAATTATGAGGAATTTCTCTTTGTCTGTTTTTAAGAGTTGCCATAAGACTTGAGGAAGAAGTGAGTATAGGACAAAGGAATTACTCAGTGGGTGCTTTGCCAAGAATGTTTTCGAAGGCACTTGGCGTAGGAATGAGTTATCTTCACCTAATGACATTTCCAAACTTATTTTTGTATTGTTTGAGATGAAGACAACATAAATTGAGGTCAAAGTGCTTTCAGTGTCAAATTCTACTGAAAAGAGAGAATTAGCTATTTTATGTGTTATTGATTACTTTAGCTAAGAATTGGGTAAGGGGAGAAGGTCGTCTTGGCCACAGTATTCACAAAAGCATTGTTAGCTGATTTGGCAGAGCATGATGAAAAACATACAATTATTTACCCACAGCACTGTGTCCAAGCAGAACATCAGTATTCATAGAACTGGGTAAAGAAATCATATGAAGCCAATCATATGAAACAAGGAGGTAAAATGTGAGATAGAGCAGAATACAATTTGCTTTGATTGACAGGGTATGGTATAACCATTAAGTTACACAAACTTTCTTTGATTAGAAATATAGGAGACCATCAGGCTCAGCATCTGCTTAGTGAATGGAATTTTATGTAAGAAGTGGGAAATAGTAAGAGCTGGAGAGGACAGGAACTCCACAAGGAGAGCAACAGAACAAGAAAATTTGAACACAGGGAACTTCCCAGAGGCTCATACTCCAACCAAGGACTATCCGTGTAGAAAACCTAGAACCCTGACAATGCAGCCACTTCTGATGAGAACTGATAGACTAAGATCAGAAAGAAGGAAAGGAGGACCTCCCTATCAGTGGACTTGGGGAGGGGCATGCATGCAGAAAGGGGGGGAGGGGAGACCGGGAGGGGAGGAGGGAGGGGCTTATGGGGGGATACAAAATGAATAAAGTGTAATTAATAAAAGTTACAAAAAAAAAGAAAAGAAATACAGGAGACAACGTATCAGCTTAGCAAAGAGTTCTTCCTGGTCAGCTGAGTGAGAAAGCAGAGTGTGATATGTG